ATTGAAGGCGGTTCCTTTTCAACAGGTGGCTCTCGCCTTAGCGCCGCGCACATTCGCCTTAAACTTTCACAAGAGCTTCACGGATTCCCATGATCAACGCACCAGAAACTGTATTTGGAAGGATTCAGGATTAGGCGGGTGTAAAATGTATGTGGGTTCGCGGTGGTGAAATCCCCAAAATGGCGACCTGTCACGACATCGGATAGTCAGGACGCAGCAGTCAGGTTGATCCGTGGCGTTGAAATCCCGAGAACATTCTTTTCGCCTTCTTCAGGGTCTTCATACGCTTGTCTTCAAACGAGGCAGTTCCCTCAATGGAAATGAACCGTAGTAGGGGAATATGAAGACGCAGCTTGGAGTGGGTCAATCCCAACATCGTTACTGACTCTTGGGTTTACACTCGTCCTTCTCCTCTCCTTCTCCTCCTCCTCCTCTACCTCCTACTGCGTCTATCCCTCCTCCCCCTCGCGTTCCTCCCGCCTCCTGTGGCTGCTGCAGGTGCTGCCGCTCCACTGGCTGATGCCCTTGCTCCCACTCCGCCCCCGGCTCCCGATATCCTGTGCGTGCGTGCTCCTGGGGCGAGAACGAAGGATCACTCTCAGGCTGGCGAGGACCGACCCTGAGAACGCCCGGAGAACCCTGAAGGAGGTGCTACTCGGCAGCGCAGCAGAAGCAGCAGCAGCATAATCAGGCAGCGGCGGACGAAGAGGATGCGAGGAGCAAGAGTACGCATGGCAACGTGTGGAAAGGCAGAGAGGAGCGGTGTGAGAAGGATTGGGAGGACTACGCATGCAGTTGGGGAGTTGGAGGGAGATGACGCGGAGAAGGGGGAAGTGGAGAAGGGGGAGTTGCACGGGGGGGTAGAGCAGGAAGGGGTGAAGGAGGAGGTCGATGAGGACGAGAAGTAGAAGTCAGATGAAGAGGGTGCAGAAGGATTGGGATAACAAGGGTAGGAGAAGGAGTCAGCGGCTGTGCTCCAGAAGTGGCAGCGGACACACTCATGCCCACAGAGTCAAGATGAGTCGAGGAGGAGGAAAGGGATGAGGAGGATGGGGAGGAGGAGCAGCAGGTGCTTGGCGTCGGCGGGTAACGTAGAAGCAGCAGCAGGAGCAGCAAGATCACTCAGAGCACACATTGGGCAGGCGCAGCAGCAGGAACCAGAGGAGGAAGAGCATCCGCGTGCGCCATCCCTTCTCAGGCGCTTCTCCAGACTAATCAGGTGCGGTGTGCCCTAGGCTGAGGTGTTGGATACAAAGCTACCTTTTCCCATTGTGAGGAAGAACGGATTTCCCAATCATGCTCTTGCATGCTTGCCTTGTCGGCCGTCTTCAACCACTTTCGCTTGCCGGCGGATGCTCCGTCACGCTGCAAGAGTGATAATACCAGTCAGCTGGCAAATTTATGACCTCCCGTCCAGGCACACGAGATAGGAACGGGGAGGAGGAGGAGGAGGAGGAGGAGGAGGAGGAGGAGAACGAATGCTGGGAACAGGAGGAGGGGGAGAAGGAGAAGGAGGAGGAGGAGGACCAGTGTAAACCCAAGAGTCACCAACGAAGTTGGAATAAACCCTCCCCCCAAGCTCCCTCTTCAGATGCCCCTACAACGGTTCACTTCCACAGAGGGGCCTGCCTCGTTGGAAGACAACCGTTTGAAGACCCTGAGGCATGCCAAAACATGATTCTCGGCATTCCAACGCCACGGATGAACCTGACAATTGCGTCTTGGCGATCCTGAATCGTGCCAGAACACAATTCCTGAGACGTCAACTCCGCGAATCATCGTAACTGTTGCGCTCTCAAAACCGTGAGTCCTTCCAAAACGCTATTCCTGGTACGCCGACCATGGAAATACGCAAAACTCTTGCAATTTTGTATCAAGAATGTGCGCGGCGCTAAAGCGAGGACGACATTTTGAAAAGGAGCCGCCCTCAATCCGTGAAACTCTTGCTAATTCTAGAACGAATGTGCGCGGCGCTAAGGCGAGAACCACATGTTGAAAACCACCCTCCCTCAACCCGTGAAACTCTTGCAAATTTTACACACGAATTCGCGCGGCGCTACAGCGAGAGTCACATGTTGAAAACCACCTGCCCTCAATCCGTGAAGCTCTTGCAAATTCTGAAACGAATGTGCGCGGCGCTAAGGCGAGACCACATTTTGAAAACGACCCGCCCTCAATCCGTGAGACTCTTGCAAATATTGAAACGAATGTGCGCGGCGCTCAGGCGAGAGTCACATGTTGAAAACGACCCGCCCTCAATCCGTGAAACTTTTCCAAATTTTAAAAAGGAATATGCGCGGCGCTAAGGCAAAAGCCACATTTTGAAAACGACCCGCCCTCCATCTGTGAAGCTCTTGCCAATGTTTAAACTTCAGGGTCATAAATGGTAAGGAACTCTCAAGCGAAACGCCCGGTCCGCCCTAAAGACTAGCATCGGGGTGCGACAGGGGGGAGCTATTTATAAGGAGAAGGCATGGAGGAGGAGGATGCGGCGAGGATGAAGGAGCAGGAAGAGGAGGGTCTTGAGTAAGAGGAGCAAGAAAGAGCAAGAAGAGGATGCGGATTGACATAATCAGAAAGGCGACAACCTCCCATGAATCCCCTTCTCCGTCATGGTGCAGGTGGGAGGGCCGATGGGCGCCTATTGTCCCCGTATCCTAAGATTGGGTTTTTGCTATTACCCGTATGCCTCCGACTCGCACCCCACACATGCCTCTCCCCCCACTCCTCCTATTCTTCACCCGGGCTCACTCATACTCAGACTTACTCGATCTCAGCCATAGTCAGACTCTCTCATACAAAATCTCACTCACGCTCAGACTCGTTCACATCCTCCTGTTCCCCACTCGGATTCACTCGTACTCAGACTCACGCAGAATCCGACCCGCTCACACCCACACTCACTCACATCCTCATCGTCCTCACTCAGACTCACTTGTACTCAAATACGCTCACTCTCAGACCCACTCACCCTCAGACGTACTGACACGCATAACCAGTCGCACTTAAACTCCATCATACTATATCTCACTCACAATCAGACTCACTCACACTCAGAGCCACTCGCACTCAGACCCACTCACACTCGGTTTCAATCGCACTTGGACTTGGGACGCCCTCGCACCGAAACCCGCAGATTGTGAGCATGCTTCAGCTTACCTGCTGGCTTCTGCACCCCAAAGGGGGAGCCGCGAGGGGTGGCTTCACGGTCCCGTTAGCGGCCAGAGTGTGGGGACGTTTTGAAGCGGTTCGCCTGTTTGGCGGCTAAGACTTCGGTGATGTCAGAAGAGGTTGTGCGGATGTCTCAGCCAATTCAGTTGCTGGCCTCAGCACCCGAAGGGGAAGCCGACAGGGGTGGTTTCATGGCCCAGTTCGCGGCGTGTCAAGCGGTTTGCCTGCTTGGTGGCTTGGGTTCCAGCGCTCTCAATGCAGGATCCGAAGATTCCTCTACCGAGTTGCTGGCTCCAACATCCCAAGGGGGAGCCGTTGCCTGTTTGCTGGCTGGAACGTCGGTGCTTTCAGAACTGCTTGTGGGGATTTCTCAGCCGATCCGCTGGCTTCGGCACCCAAATGAGGAACCGCCATGGCCCGTTCGCGCCCGGAGTGTCGGTAATATGTCTCAGGCGGTGCACCTGCCGTGGCTAGCCGACTTCTTCGCTTTCGCAAGAGATTGTGAGGATGTCGTGAGCGAGGCGCTGGCTTCAGCACCCCAAGGAGGAGCCCCCAGGAAGCAGAGTTTGAGGATGTGTCTAGCGAGGAGCTGGCTCCAGCACCCGAGGGGGAGCCGCCTAGGGGTAGGACACTCGCCCGTTCGCTGCCAGGCCGTGGGGATGCCTCTAGCGAGGCGTCCGTTTTTCACTTCAGACTCCCGTCCATTCAGAGCCCCATGAACACATCGACGTATAGGAAAAAGGACGGCCGCCAGGGAAGAGACGAGAGGACGGAGGACGACATAGTAGGATGCACGAGGAGGGAGAGAAGGGAGGATGGAGGAAGAGCGGAGTAGGGTGGAGGCAAGGAGGAAGAGGAAGGAGAGGGGATGAGGCCACCAGAAAGGGGGGAACTCGCCAGGGAGCAGGAGGGAAGAGGGAGGACGAGGAGGAGGAAGCAGGAGGTCGCAGGACGAGGGAGACGGACGGCCGCCTGGCAGGATGAGGGAGGAGGGAGGAATGAGGCGGACCCAGGAGGAGGGGAAAGGGAGGAAGGAGGAAGAGCAGGGAGGGGGGCGACGAGAAGGCAGAGGCAGGAGAAGGGAGGGGCTTGATCACCGCCTCTTTGTGAGTTGTTGTCGCCGTCGTCGCTGTCCCTCATCGTAGCCGCCGGCGTCGTTGTCGTCGGGCCCGTCGACCACTTGGACTCGCTCTCACACCCGGACGCTCACAGCCAGACATTCATAGCAGGCCGTGCCAAGAAATGAGATGCACATATGGCGATCTCCGCGCCGAGAACTTTTCCTCCGCCGCACCGGGAATCGAATGAAAGCTAGATCACGGGCGCCCACTCGCAAGGTGAGCTCGTCCGACTCACCACCCTTCGGCTGCACGCAAGGGTGACCCTAGGCAAGAGTGACCTTTGGTGCGCGGCTTCAAGGGGCGCGGGGGGAGGACAACGCAGGCAGCGTTATGTCGCAAGTAGCAGTCTGAGCATCGTGTTGGCATGTTCCTGGTGGTGTAGTCGAACCTAGGCCAGAAGAACATCCTCCAAGAAAACGAGACCCTCCGCCGGTTAAAACGCACAGAACATTCAAGGGTACCCTCCCCCAGGATGCACAAGAACATCCAACAAACAAGAAGAACATCAGGGCACCCTCGCCGAACCGACCTCAACCGCATACCTCGGCCCGACCGTGCCGAAGGAGGAAGAGGAGGCCACCCGCCGACCAGAGGAGACAAGAGCAGCCAAGGGCAGCAAGCCATCGACGCCCCGCCCCCCAGCAACAGCCCAGAACCGCCACTCTCTCTCTCTCTCTATATATATATATCTCTCTTCGGCGGCAAGATTGGGGAGCATGAGCTGTATCAACGACGCGCCGCCGCGGGAAGCCCGTGAGCGTCCTACTGCCGAAGAAGCACGCTGCCGTCGGGGAAAGACGAAGCAAGAGCACGCCGACGGGTCCCAGCGGCGGCGTGTGATTGACACTCGCTGTACTTCCCGACAAGAGGCCGCCAGGGAGAGAGCAAGAAGAGCAGTGGTCGTGGAGGAGGGAAAGAAGGAGGTGGCAGCTCCGCCGCGCCTTGTGGATGCGGTACTCGGTGGGCCCCAGCCTCAGGCGCCAGTCGCTGTGGAGACCGGTGCGCCAGGACGGGATCTCCGTGTCGGCGTCGGAGGGCAGCTGGGGGGGACGGAGCGATCAGAGGGCGGAGGCCCACCCGCCTCGGCGCCGCTTGCGTTTCGGCCAGTGGCTGAAGGAACACGGCACAGCATGTGCGCGACACAGGAAGGCGCAGCCAGGAGGCTCTCCCTGTCGGGTGGGCAGCTGGCCCACCTCCTCCACCCCATGTTCCTGCTCGTGACGCGCCTCCCCTCCCCCCCCTACTCCTCATCCTCAGCCTGCTGTTGCTCCTGCGCCTCCCCCTGCCTTCTCCCCGTCATACTCCTCACCGTCTTCCTCTTCCTCCTCCTCCTCCTCCTACTCCTCCGCTTCTACTGCTCCCTATCCCTCCCTAGAAGTACTTCGTCCTGTTGCGCCACACTGTGGTGGTCGCCATCAGATGGTCGTCGAAACTGGGAGTGCGTGCCCAGGCATCCCTAGAACCTCAAAGCTCAAAGGGCCTCCTGGACCTAAACCTCGTAGAAACTCACATAGTCATGTTAACCAGCATGGACCTCAAACGTAAGTACTTGCAGTGTGGATGTTTAAGCTATGTCGTGCAAGCTATGTGGTGGAAACTACGCATTGCAAGCTAGAGGCGGCAACGAGACGGCAACGTGCGGCAACGTGGCAAAACCTCGTCAGACACTCCCAGCGCACACGGCGACAACGAGGCGGCAACGGGCGGCAACGTGGCGACATATCGCTGGGCCCACCCTGAGCACGAGGCGGCAACGTGCGGCAACGTGGCGAAACCTCGCCGGACCCTGCCAGCGTACGAAGCCGCAACGAGGCGGCAACGAGGCGGCAACGCGGCGGCAACGGGCGGCAACGTGGCGAAACCTCGCCAGACCCTGCCAGTACACACGGTGACAACGAGGCGGCAAAGGACTCGGGCGGCAACGTGGCGAAGCCTTGCGCACCCACCCAGGCGGCAACGAGGCGGCAACGAGGCGGCAACGGGCAGCAACGTGGCGAAACCTCGCCGGACCCTCCCAGCGCACGAGGCAGCAGCGAGGCCGCAGCGTGGAGAAACCTCGCCCGACGAACCCAGCGCACGAGGCGGCAACGAGGCGGCAACGCGGCGGCAACGGGCGGCAACGTGGCGAAAGCTCGCCGGACCCTGCCAGCGCACGAGGCGGGCACGAGGCGGCAACGGGCGGCAACGTGGCGAAATCTCATTGGACACACCCTATTCGCGAGGCGGCAACGAGGCGGCAACCAGGCGGCAACGTGGCGAACCCTCGCCAGTTCCACCCAGCGCACGACGCGGCAAAGAGGCAGCAACGGGCAGCAACGTGGCGAAATGTCGCCAGACCAACCCAGCGCACGAGGCGGCAACGAGGCGGCAACATGGCGAAACCTCGCTGGACCAACCCAGCGCACGAGGCAACCAGGCGGCAACGAGCCGGCAACGGGAGGCAACGTGGCGAAAGCTCGCCGGACCCTCCCAGCGCACGGCGCGGTATCGAGACGACAACGTGCGGCAACGTAGCGAAACATCGACGCACCAACCTGTCGCATGAGTCGGCAACCAGGCGGCAACGTGGCGAACCCTCGCCGGGCCAACCCAGCGCACGAGGTGGCAACGAGGCGGCGACGAGGCGGCAACGCGGCGGCAACGGGCTGCAACGCGCACGAGGCGGCAACGAGGCGGCAACGTGCGGCAACGTGGCGAAACCACGCTTGACACTCCCAGCGCACGAGGCGGCACTGGGCGGCAACGAGACAGCAACGCGAAACCTCGCTGGACCCACCAATCGCACGAGTCGGCAACGAGGCGGCAACCGGGCGGCAACGTGGCGAAACCTCGCCAGACCCACTGAGCGCAGGAGGCGGCAACGAGGCGGCAACGGGCGGCAACGAGAAAAATCCTCGCCGGACCCAATCAACCCCTTAGGGAGTCAAGGGACAACCCTTGAAACCAAACACTGTTTTGGAAATAAGAAAACAGTAAGACTCTCCGTCCATCCTCCCCCTCCTCGTTCTCCTCTTCCCCCTCCTCCTCATTCTCTGTCCTCTTCGACGTCATGTGCGCGGTCAAGCGTCGTGGCTCTTACCCTGTGTCCGTCTGCTTCAAAACACTATCCGTCAGGCGTCTTCTGGGAACCACACGCCGACCTCCTGCTCTTCATCCACATTTGCCTCCGCCCTCTCCTTCCATCTTCCTGACCTTCCACACCATTTCGTCCCTCTTGCTCCACGAATTCCTCCACATCGCTCCCCTCCAAGTGATAGACATCCTTATCCTCCACATCATCCTCATCCTCTCCCCTTGTTCACTCCCTCTCCCTGCCTCCTTCTCATTATCCACCCTCCCTGCTTACGAACTCCGTATTTATCAACCTGCTTTCCTTATGTCATTATCCTCGTCCTCCTCCCTCAATCACACGTTCCTATCGTACCACAATCATCCGCCTCCTCTTCCTCCTCCTTGCAATTCTTGCTGCACCGTTCATCCCCCTCCTCAACCTCGTCTCCCTCCTCCCCCTCTTTCTACTCATGTGAACCCGCCCTCTTTCTCATCCCTATATGCCCCCCTCCTCTTCAACATTGCCATCATTATCGTCGTCACTGACAACATATCATCATCGTCACGATACTCCTTCCCCTCCCAGTCATACTCATGTACAGGTTCGTCATCATATTGTTGTGACCATCGTCGCATCCGCAACCACCACCACCACCATCATCATCATAATCAGCAGCAGCAGCATCACCATCATCAGCATCATCAACAGCATCAGCATCGCATCTGCATCAGCCTCGTCGTCGTTGGTCGTCGTCGACATCATCATCATCATCATCATCATCATCATCATCATCATCATCATCATCATCATCATCATCATCATCATAATCAGCATCGTCACCATCATCAACATCATCAGCATCATCATTCTTATCATCATCATTCTCATCAACAGCACCATCATTAGAACTACCATCTCCATCACCATCACCATTAGCAACCTCAACACTATTAGTATCATCAGCAGAACCATCATCATCATCATTACAACATCCAACACCATCACCATCATCACCAGCAGCATCATCCCTCCTGCTCCTCATCCTACTTCCTTCCATCTGTCCCCTCCTCCCCCTGTCCCTTCCTCTTCCCCCCTCCTTCTCCATCTCCCAACTTCACACCTTGTCAGCATACACATTATCCTATTGTTCTTCCTCATCCTCCTGCCATCTATACTTCTCCTCCTCAACCTCCCCCTTTGCACTTCCTTCTCCGTCTGCCAACCTCACTCCGTGACCTCCTGCTCCTTTTCATGCTCCTTCTGGTCTTGCCGTGATTGAAACAAGGATCCTGACGGTGACGGGTCCTGGACTCTAGGGCCGGCCCCAAGATCGCATGTTCATCATGTGTCGTTTGTTGTTGGCTACAGGGCCCGGAAGCGTGCCCTGGGAGCACGAACGTTGCGACCCCCCCAAGAAAAGGCTCATCCTTCCCTTCGGACCCCTTGTATTGGTGGTGATGGCTGGTTCGCGGATCAAAAATCGACCCCCCAGACTCGTCATGGACGCACTCGCCGATGAGAACCTCCCAGGGGGCGGAGTACGTAACTCCTCGGAGCACACCCTTGGGGGGGGGACGAGACGACGAAACGGCGGCGACGAGGTATGCGACTAATCTGGCTTCTCCTCCTCCTCCTCCTCCTCCTCCTCCTCCTCTTAACCCTCCTCGTCTATCTCCTCCTCTTCCTCCTCATCCTCCTCCTTCACTTTCCTCGTCCATCTCCTCCTCCTCCTCCTCCTCCTCCTCCTCCTTCTCCTCCTGCTCTTCCTCCTCCTCCTCCTCTTCCTCCTCCTCCTCTTCCTCCTCCTCCTCCTCCCTACTCCTCCTCCTCCTCTTCCTCCTCCTCCTCCTCCTCCTCCTCCTCATTCTGCTCCCCTCCCTCCGCGCGTCCTCCGGGAAGGGCACGTCCACCCGGGCGGGCGTGCGCGGCCGCAGCAGCTGCGTCCACGCCTCGGGCATCGGAAGACGCGAGGCTTCTTTGCGGGGTGGGTTGGTGCCCTCCTCCTGCGATGTGCGGCCCGAGGCGGCCATGCGCAGGCCTATACAGACATAGGCACCGCCGTTTGGGGCGCTTTACGGGGAATCGGCCAGCTCGCGGTCATCGTCGCACTCTCGCCGCGCTTGGGATGCTGGCCCTTCAATAATCACCTCCACCTGTGCAGCGCCGCAACAGCTATCTTCCACCTCTGCGGGGTGGGGGGAGTGGGGACGAGGAGGGCAGGAGAACGACGGTGGCGAACACGGAGGAACACACCACGGTACACATCTAAACTTTCGAAGGACCGCGCGGACATCTTGGATCAGCGCTGGACCCCCCCTCCCTGGCGCGAGGAACGCGCCAGGGGCGGAGCCAGAGGCGCCGCCAGGGGGCCCAGCGCCGATCCAAGAAGTCTGCGCGGACCTCCAAAAGTTCTGTGTATGCCGTTTAGAACTCTTCGGGACCAGACGACGAGGACCACGAGGAGACGAGGGGACGACGAGGACGACGACGGGGACCAGAGAGAAGTGCGGCCCGACGTGGCACTACGGCGGCCTGTGCGTCGATCAGCGTTAGACTCGGATCTTCGCGTCGGACGAAGGGGAAAGTAAAAACGCAGGGTTGCACGCCGGTCGGAAGAAGTGGGTAGAAACATGAAATAGGATTGCGTTGGAAGCAGATTGGGCTTCCGCCCGCCCCCTGAAGAGGAGGGAAAAGGAAACCTGTCGATCCTTGAAGTAGGAAGGCGCCTACAGTAGATTGGGATCTGGGAGTCCAGAAATACCTACTTTCAATGACTGGCGTGTAGCGAATCCGCTCACGTGGCTGACTTTCCCGGCGCCTTTTGGCTCCAGAGGCGCCAGCTGTGTCGAGGAAGGTGCCTGGCGGCGGGGGCGGAACCGGCCGCATGGCGTTCGTAACTCCCCTCGCTACCGTGGAGGCCAGTCCACACGAACCCTTCCACAAGAAACCCAACCCCGAGACCCCAGGACTTCCGTTGGTTTTTAGTGTGGGAACGGTACCCTTTACATAGCAAGACCATCGAAACCCAAGAAACCCAGGGCACCCTGGAGGCAAGCAGGGTGTCTCTTGGTATGGGCCTCCGCTGTATCTCCCCCTCTCCTCCCACCCGACAGAGAGAAGGGCGGGCGCACGGTGCAATACAATCGTCGGTGTGCCGATCGACGTCAGGCTCCGATGTTCCCAGGGCGAAGGCAAGGACATGGTGTGCGACTCTCCCCGTCCGCCACCCTCGACGCAGCGGGGTGGCGCCAAGCCAGCCATGAGCCAGCACAGGCGGCCCAACGCAGGCAAACAGTGGGCTGCGCAGGACGGCGCCAGCCAGCAGTCAAGGGAAAGGGAAGGAGGGAGGAGGGAACTCTCTCTCTCTCTCTCTCTTTCTGTCTCTTTCTCTCTCTCTCTCTCTCTCTCTCAATCGCGCCCGAACAAAAGCGGGAAGCGGAGGATCGTTCGAACCCGGTGTTTGTGAATAGGGGGCAGTCAACGTGGTGCGAGGACGTTAAAGTCGCGCTCGTAGACCTATGATTTCGCGGACCGTGTTTACCTGGTGCAATCTTGCATGCCATTCTTGAATGCCCCATATGCCAAATGTGTTACATGCCCCATCTGCCCAATGCCGTTCTTGAGTGCCCAATATGACCCATATTCCAGAATATTGTGCGTACTTGAGTGCCCCATATGTTTCACCCGCAGTGGATGGGCCATGTCGTGCACCTTCTGGGCCCGCGGCGACACTTCAGGGGACGCGCAGGGCCACATGCTGCTGGCTTGCGCCACCGCGCGCCCGAGGATGAACGATCGACCGCGCGGCGTGGAGATCAGGTGGACACACAGACAGGGGAGAGGAGATCGAGGGGGGCGAGGAGGATGGGGGGGTGAGGGGGCGAGGAGGTGAGCAGGAAGGATGACCAGAACCAAAACGAGGGTGACGAAGACGAGGACCAGGTGAAGAATGAAGAGGGCGGAGGACAGGGGGGAAAGGGAGCAACCAGCGGCAGCCTCTGTAACCCCTCGCCCCGCGGAATCCAACGCGGGGTTCCAGCTTGCCAGGCCTCCCCCCAGGTCCTTTCAGGGCATGCAACTCAAGGTCCACGCAACATGTGTCCAGAGGAGAAAAGGCGAGCTGGGTGCGATCGCGCCCCATCTGACATCCTGGCCCTTCCCTCCCTCCCCATTGCGCACAACCGCTCTCCATCATCCGAGCCACGTGTGGGATCGGGCTCCTGGTAGAACTTACTGTGTCCATCTGGGGGGCCTCTTGGCAGCCGGCCTAGACTGTCCTTGTCCTGTCGGCGTCGAAGCTGTCCGCGGGGCCTCTTGTCGCTTACTCGAACCCTCGTCGGGAATCCTGGGCCTGTCTTGGGGTTTCCTGGGCTGTCCTGAGAGGCCGGGGCAAACCCCCGCTTCAAAATTGGAAGTTATTTTTCCCCTGGAAAGCCGAAGCACTTTAGTGTGTACCGCGGGACCAGCGCAACCACCTGACGATGTTTTGCTACTGCCAAGTCTGCAATGGAACACACATCAAGAAAGGGCGAACGCATTGCGCCCGTAACCCCGACGGCTTCCAACCGCTTGTATAGAACACAGTGAAAGCTCATCGCAAAACCGATCGTATCGCTGCCCGCGTCGACGGCTCTGGTGCAGCGACAAAAACACGTCGCCACGCGGTGGACAGCAGCAGCGCGAGCAGAAAAAGGAAGGAAGGCAGGCAACAAAGAGGAGCGGGGAGGACAAACGGGAAGGGAAACGATAGCAGCGCAGACAAGGCAGAGAACAGCAGGGAGAGGAGCAGGAGAGCGAGCGAGAGGGCAGGCAGCAGAGCGGGGGAAGGAGGGAGCCCAAGGCAAGCAACGCGCAGCAACAGGGGAAGGGAGAAAAGGAAACTGCCGGTTAGTGTGACGCGTGACGGACAGGGTATTCAGAAGCGCGGGTCGCCTGCCCCACAGAAGACCTCGGCTGTGTACAAGGGCGGCAAGGGCCACCATAGCTCGTTGGCCACGTGCAAAGAAGCAAGGGAAGGAGAAGGAGGAGGAGGGACAACTCTGTCCTCGCGAGCGGGACCAGCGAGTGCGCCCCTGCGAGGAAGCAAGGGGAGGGAAGGCTACTCAGTCGACCGCCCGCGGGCCTCCCGCAAGTAGCCGTCGAAGGCGCCGCTGATGTCCTGAAGCGCGAGCGTGCCACGGCGGCGCCCGTTGTGGGCCCGGTACAAGGCGTGTACGGAGACGGACCAATCGATCACAGCGCGCTCGCCCGAGGCCAGTCCAAACCCATCAAAGCATCGAGCTCGAAGCCAGGGCTTGGTCGAGGGGTGCTCAAGAAGCGACTCAGCAACGTGCGGACAACGGGGCAATAAGCAAAGTGCCGAATGCTGTCCGACCCACCGCTGCACATCCTGCCGGGGCCAGCTCTGCCATATAGCGAGTGCGCGCACCACCCGTTGCAGAGAACACGGAAGACTGCGGCCCAGACCCGCGGCTGGCAACATCGCCCAGCGACCTGCAGGTTGCGGAGCGTCGGTGTCAGCTGGTGGTCGGGTAGGCAAGCCAGCTGCCGATGTCGAAGCTTCTTCCGGAGGTGGAGCTGGGCGTCCACGCGTGCTGGGCCATGCAGCTGGTCCACAACAAATTTCTGCCAGCCCTGCTTGCGGTGCCACTGGGGGGCTTTCGGTATGGCGTGGCGACGGACCTTGACGCGCTGCGCAGTATTGTCCAGGGTGAGAACGAAACAGCTGTCTCGCCGCGCGTGCAACCGACGAAACCGTTGCACCGAAGCCTCCGTGCCCCCGCAAGACACTTGCCGCATGCGCCCAGCCCTCTGGCGAATGCGCAAACGGCCTGCTGCTTCCAACTCGACCACGCGGGCTTTGGAGGCTGCAAGGATAGAGTGTAGGTCCGTTGGCTGATCGCCCAAACCCAAGGATTTGAGTTCGCGAGCGCACTTTGCAATCATCCAATCTTTGGGGCCGCTGGCCATTTTCTTGAGGGCCAGAGCTTCCTCATGCTGGAGTTGCGGCGGGGGGTCATCCAGTTGGCCCACGAACCAAAGGACCGAGGATATGCACACCTGTTAAGCCTGGAGGGTCAAGAGCAAGGCGACGCCCAGACGCCCCCCAAAAAACGCCGGCTCGATGAACTTCCGCAGCGGCGCCGCCCAGGAGGCGAAACCCCAGCCAGGGCCCACGTGCACGCCAAGGTACTTAGCGGCGCCCTGGACTTGCACTCGCGCCCAGCCAGGAGTCTCGGATCCCACCCACGCCCGCAGCGTCCGCGCGAATTCGCGTGACAGAGGATCCGTCGGCACCACCACTGTATTGGGGAAGATGAGCCCGAGCCCGGATACCGCTTCGAACTCGGAGACAAATTGTTGGAGCGTTCGCAAGTTGCCGCGCGAGTCGGCGGTCACGAGGGCAAGGTCGTCAGCGAAAAACCTGATCGTGCTGCCCGGGATGGTCCGTTGAAGCTGGCGAAGGTATGGGTCTGAGCACGCCGCGAACAGCAAGGGAGACAAAGGGCAACCTGACCGGATACCCCTGGTCAACTGGAACCCATCGTATCGGGCGCCACACACTTGCATATGACACTGATTGCTACGGCCGAGCGCGAAGATGAAATTCATCAACCATCTCGGCCAAGCCAGAGACGGGAAGAATCGGATAAATAACGTCTGCTCGACGGAGGGGAAGGCCGCGGCAAAGCCGAAGAAGAAGGCCATGCCACCCTCCCCCTCCGTCGCTGTGTAGAGCATGGCCTCGTCCACGTCGTTGATGTTCCCCAGCATCGAGCGGCCCCGGATGAAGCTTCTCTGGAAATCTGTAACGAATGGGGCCCAGGACAGGTTCCAATAAAAATCTGGTAGCACTCGCCAGCAGTCTGTTGTCCGCGTTGGTAACGTTGAGCGGCCGCATCCCCGATGGCTCGTACAGGTTACTGCGGTCCTCCGTCTGCCCCACGGGTTTTCTTGGGCAAGAAATGCAGAATACTGGCGTTGAACTCTAGGCACTCCTGATCCATCTGCGCCTCCGCCGTGTCCGACGATAAATCCTGGAACGCGCCAAACAGCACGTCCACAGATAACTTGTCCATGGCCTCCAGGCCTCTTATGGGATACCGTCTGGGCCAGGGAAAAGTTGTTCGAGCATCTGACGGCGCGTTCGATGTGTCTCTTCGTCATCCGACTGTGCTGCAAAGAAGAGCGTGTAGAGAGCCGTGAGCCTCTCGATGCGCGAGATCATCTTCCAACCCATACTGGGGGTTAAGCTGCATGTCCCAACTTGGAGCCCCCAATTCCCTGCCCGTGTTAGATGTGCGCACATCGGAGTGGGCATGTTCTGAGGCATGTGTATATATAGAGAGAAAGAGAGAGAGAGAGAGAGAGAGAGAGAGAGGAGAAAGAGAGATAGATGTAAACCCAAATATATAACATACAGAGCGAGCGAGAGAGAGAGGGAGAGAGGGAGGGAGAGAAATAGAGAGGATAATGAGAGGAGGGAAGGGGGGAGATAGGAGGGAAGGGATGAAGCGACGAACCGGGAGGAGGGCGAGATGTACTGGCTGGGGCTGGCCTGCTTCTCCGCGCGGGAGTGGCCGGTGCAAGCGGCGTCGGAGCCGACCTGCACCTGGCGGCTGAATTGGACCTCGTCCTGTCCTCGTACTCCTCCTCTTCTTCCTCCACCCTTCGTCATCGTCGCTTCTCCACGCTTCTTCCTCTTCTTTCTCCTCCTTCCGAATGTTCATGTCTCCTCCCCCTTCCTCATCCCGTCCTCCTTCCTCCTCCTCCTCCTCCGCCTCCTCCTCCTTCCTCATCCTCATCCCTGATCCTTGTTCCTTCTCGCTCCTTCCTCCTGCCCCTCTCTCCCCCTTCTTTCAGCCTTTCGTTTTCATACTTTCTCCCTCCTACTCCTCTTCCTCCTCCTTCTCCTCCTCCTTCTTCTCCTTCTCCCTCCTCCCTCCTCACTCGTTTCTCCGTCCCTTCCTCCAGCGTGCCAGGGCCAATGGACGGCACACATCATTAGCACACTCAGCACCCTCCCCAATCGTCTTCCCTTCCCTCACCCGTCCTCTTCCTCCTCCTCACTCCTGCTACGTCCCCCGTCCACCGTCCCCCGTCCTCCGTCCTCCTTCGTCCTCATCCTCCTCCTCCTGCTCCTCATCATCCGCTCCCCCCTCGTAATATTCCTCCTCGTGCTGCTCATCCTCCCCAGTCCCTTCCCACCATCGCCCTCCCCCGCATCATCATAATCACCCTTCAAGTCTTGCCCTCTCTTCCTTCCTCCTCATACGTCTTCAATCTGGACTCCGAATTGGAAGGGGCTACAGAAGATGGCCTCCAAGACGGCCCAGAGGGCCCCAAGACGACCCCGGGAGGCCCCCAGGACGGCTTCGGACGGTGTCAGACGGGCCAGGAACGCCCTCGGACTGCCAAAGAGCCTCACAAAGAGCCTCCGAAGACCCCCAAGACGCTCAAGGAAACCACAAAGAGTCCTCCAAGAGGCCTGCAGGAAGCTCCCAGGAGGGCCACAGAGTGCCCCAAGAGGCCTCCTCCTCGTCATCCTCCTTCTCCTACTCCTCCTGCTCCGTTGTTCCTCCCCCTTCTCCTCTTCTTCTTCCTCACCCACGTGTTCCCCGAAGGGCTTCCACAACGCCTGGGGGGGGGGGCACATAGTCCGATAGCTTGGCCGAGCTCTGGCCCGCAACGTTTGGCCGCAGGGGCGGTTCCAAAAGGCAGGGGGCTGCGGTGATCTGCCACCCCCTACGCACGCCCCACAGGTGCACGGCGTCGGGGCGTTGGCAAACAACGTCTCCGGTGGACTCTCGGCCGGACGCGCCACCGTGCCCAACACGACCGTACTTCTGCACAACGCCCGCCTCCAAGACGGCCAAGTTGACCCAAGGCGGGAACAAGTTCGCCCGAGACGGCAGAGATGGCCCCAATTGAACCCAAGATGGCACCAAGAGGATTTCAAGATGGCGCAAGATGCCCCTAAGATGGCCCACTATGGCCGGAAGATGGCCCAAGAGGCCCCCAAGACGCCCCCAGAGGGCACCAAGAGCCCCAGGAAGCCAAAAAGAATGAATGTCCTGAGGTGTGCCATTGATTTTAGCGCTCTAGCCTTTTCGAGCTGCCAACGCTCCAAGACGGCCCCATATGCCCCTAGGATCTCCCCATGATGGCCCATGAGGCCCCCGAGCGGCCCGCAAAACAGCCAAGAGGGCCACAAAACGGCCCAAGAGGCCGCCAAGACGGCCCGAAGACGGCCACTTAGACATCCAAAAACTATCCTCAAGCGCACAAGGAAGGACCTACACCTGCCCAGAGAGGGCCCCAAGAAGGCCTCCGAAGGCCAAGGGGTTTCATAGAGGCTCCGAGAGGCGCCCAAGAGGCGCCCAAGAGGCCCCAGGAGGCCCCCAAGAAGCTTCAGAAGGCCCCCAGGAGGCCCCTCAGAGACCCCTGAGAGGCTCCAACGAAGCTCCCAGGTGGTTTCAAGAGAGCCTCACGAGGCCTCCTGCTCTTCTTCCTCCTCCTCCTCCTCGTGAGCTGGAGCTACATAGACTTGACCCCCCCGGCGATCCTCTCACCGAGGAACGTTCGCGGACTGCCTAACCTGACCTGACCGCCTCGTCATCCTTCTCATCTCCTCTCCTCCTCCTCGTCCTCGTCCTCGTCCTCGTCCTCGTCCTCGTCCTCGTCCTCCTCCTCCTCCTCCTTCTCTCCCAAAAGTTCCCCCAAGGGGTTCCATACCGGCTGGGGGAACACATGGTCCAATAGCCTGGCCAGACTTCGACCCAACGTTGGGCCGCAAGGGCGTTTCCAAAAGGCAGGGGGGCGGCGGTGAGTCGCCGCAGGCGTCTTCGATCAGCCGCCCCCTGTGCTTGCCACTCGCCACAATTTTGCCTGGCGTGCCAGTCATTCCAGTGCTTTGAACCTTCCAACAGGCTCAAAGTGGGTCTGGGTGAATCCAAGTGACCATTGGACAAAAGCACAGGAGCGTCATCCGCCCCCCAGACGCTGTAGTTGGTCTCCAACATGGCCTCCAATGAAACAGGATCCAGGTAGGGACGGGACCTAAGAAGGGAGGCTCATATGTGCGTCGCCAAGGCAAGGAACTACGGAAGGAAGGGACCGAGGAAGGAAGGGACTAACATTGTCTCCACCATCGCTGGCTTTACATATTGGATACTGGCCTCCAAGACAGCAAATATGTCAATACGGCGAAGATGGCAACAAAAGAGCTCAAGATACCACCAAGACGGCCCAAGATGACTCCAAGACGACCCAAGATGACCTCCAGACGGCCCAAGAGGCCCCAATGACGCCCCAAGATGGCTCCCGAATGCCAAACTCATTGGTTGTCCTCGGGTGTTTCCACTGTTATCGCGTTCTCGCCGTGTCGGGCTCACGGCAACCGAAGACGACCCCAGAGGCCTCCAAGATAGCTCTTAAGTCGCCCGAGCAGGGCACCAAGACGACCCAGCAAGACCTTAGGCCAAGACTCCCTTAGGCCAAGACTCCCGTAGGGGCCCCAGAGGCCCCGAACAGACCCCTCAGAGGCTCCCAGAAAGCCCCACGGGTAGCCACCAGGAGGCCCAAGAAGGGCCCCAAGAGGCCTCCTCTTCTTCCTTCTCCTCCTCCTCAATATCGTCCTCCGTCCTCTTCTCCTCCCACAAGGTGTTCCCCGAAGGCGTACCACAACGGCTCGGGAAAGACATCGTCCAATAACAAAAATGTTGGCCGAGCTTTGGCTAAGCGTTTGGTCACCCGTCATCCCAGAAAGGCAGGGGGGCGGCGGTGGTTCGCCGCAGGTGTCTTCGATAGAACACCACTGTGGCACCTGGCCTGCTGATAGCGAACCGGGCGGGGCTCACCACGCGCGCGCAAAAGCCCAAATGCCGGTCTCTCCCCAACGCCGCGCACAATTGTCCTCAGACTTGAGCTCCCGCTTCGGCGCGGCGCGCGTTAGCTCCCCCTCTCGTCGACAGCAGGGGTCGCGCGTGAGCAGGCGACATGCATCTCTCGCCCTGGCGGCGCGACGATTGAAACAACCGATCCCGCGTGGGCGCGGCGCACACGTAGCCGCGCCGTTTGTTTCCGACGCGCCCAAGTGGACGACGCCGACACCGCGGAGGCAAACCTTGCGTCCCGCGCCCAAACAGACGAATTCAGCACCGCTGCAAACCCCACGGCAAACCCACCGCGCGCGAGGCGGCGTTTTGCCCTGGTGGCAGCGGCGCCCTCCCCAAGACGGAAGGCCGCGCGTCGGAACAAACGGCGCGGCGACATGTTTTCACTCGCCAAGTCGTTGGTGGCGCGACTGCGCGCGAGCGGGCGAAGTGTCGCCTTCGCGCGAACCCTGTGCAGATTTCGCCTGGAAGTGACACTCCCGCTCTGGCGCGGTGCACGTGTTTCGTTCGCCGAGTCGCAGGAAAGCGGCAGCGAGAGCGGGCGAAATGCCGTTCTCGCCCAGCCGCGGCCCTGCTGTCGTGTGTGAGCGTGGCCGCTGCTGGGCGCGGCGCATGCCTCCTCCGTCTTCGCTGTACGCCGTGCGACAGGCGAGCTGAATTGCGTTCTCGCCGCAGCGCCGCGCAGGGGCTCTCTGGAGTGCCGCTTGCGCCCGTGCGCGGACCGTGTCTCCCCTCCCCTCGCCGAGTCGTCGGAAGCCGGGGCCGCACGCGAGCGCATCCCGCTGGCTGCGTGGGAGCGCGCGCCCGCCCAAATCTCGAGCATCAAGCTGCGACACCACGGGTTCTTCTGCTTACGGGAGGGGAGGCGGAAGTGTGCGGGGGCCCGCTGGCTCGTTCGACCTGGCTAGCTTGGCCTTCTCTCAAACACCCTTCCTCCCGTACCCATTGTCCCTCATTCTCCTCCTCGCCCTCCCGCTCCCCGCGGAATGTCTTCTGTCCATCGATTCGAGGAGAATCCAGCCGTGGCGACGAGGGGTCACCAGGACGAGAGGCGCTATCGGCATCTTTTCCTGCTCTGATCCTCCGCGTCCTCCCCGAGACCCTGCGTTGCGCGAAAACGAATGCAGCGGGACAAAATACGACCGAAACCCTAGACCCCATCTACCCGTGGGGCTTCTGGAGCCCGAGACTGTGCGAGAGCGCCCGGTGTGGAATAAGTGCAGCGTCCGGGTCGGAAGGCTTCTCGTCCTCGTCGCCGTCGGGTGGGCCGCCATGTAGGGGGCCTCTGGCGCACGGAGGCTCCCCGCCAGGGACAGCTCCCCTGGGCATCGCTCCCCGATTACCTGGCAGGGATGCCCGAAGCGTGAGCAATCCACGTGCCTTCCAGCTACGCAGTCGCACAGGCACGGTGGCGGGGCTTGTCGCAGGTAGCTGGATATCGGTACCTGCTCCCCCTGTGATCCTCGGCGTCCTCCTCATCCTCGCCTTCGTCGCCGTCAGGTGGGCCGCCCTGGAGGGTGAGCTGAGGGGCAACGGTAGGGGGACTGGCACAGGGGTGGATCATCGATCTGGAATCGGCGATGCATCGCCGATAGATCGGCGATAGGCCCCCGATAGCGAATCCGCACGTTCCTGGGCGAGGTTAGGCTATCAAACCCCTATCGGCGATCAGTGGGCGATTGGGGGTCGATGGTCGATGGTCGATGATCAGTGGTCG